ATTCTTATACATTTTCCACACGTTAACTCTAAGTGTCTGCCATGTACTAGAAGCTGTTGCACACGCTGCGGATGCCAGCAGTGAAGGAAACAAAATTCCTCCCTTCATAGGTTTATTTACATCCTAATGGGGAACAGAGACTTTAAGTGAGATAAATAAGTGAAATGTTTAGTATCTCATAGAGTAGTAAGTCCATTGCAAGGAAGGAGGATAGGAAGCATGGAGTGAAGGGATGGAAGGTTGAAATTTAACTAGGGTAGACATAGAAGGCTTCCTTGAGAAGGTGACAGGTGATATCATGGCGGGTAGGGAGCCTTCCAGGCAAAAGAAATAGCTAGAGGGTTGGGGAGAGTACTTGCCTAGCATACCAAGTGCTGGGTTTGATCCCCAGCATTGCAGCATTGCAAAAAAGAAAGAAAAGAGAAAGTGCCAGGGTAAAGGAGTGTGCCTGGAATGTCTAAGGCAAATATGGCTGAGTGAGAAATGAGGACAGCAGTGGGTTATGAGGTCAGAGGAGAATATGGGGGCTCTATGGTCAAGGTCAAGACTCTGGCTGTTACTCCGAGGGAGCTGGAGGGTTCTGAGCAGAGAAGCCCTGAGATCTGACTTACATTTTAACAGGCTCTGGCTGCTATGCCCTTTTGTTTTCTCTCATGGCTTATCAGTTCTCTTAATCATTGCATTTTCCCCCCTGTTTCTACTGTCTCCCTCCCCAACAAGAAATGGCAGAAATTATGCCTGGCTTGATTACCTGTCAAAAAAGGGCCAGTGCCAGGCACTAGCAGGTCTCAAAAAACACCGAATAAATGAATGAGTGTTGGATTTATGAAGTCTCTGTTCCCGGTGTCAATACCCAACAACTAATCCTTCAAGATTAAAGAATGAAGATGACAGAAAGTGGCTATTCTCAAACTGACATTCAACCCTCAATGTGCTTAAGATCCTAAAAGCAATGAGGTGGGGTTAAAAAGAACCTGCCACTCAAATCTACTTTTCTACTCTACTACAGAACTCAGCTGTTGAAGCGCTGAAATAAAACACTGAAGGGTTAGTTTTAAAGCTTTTGAGATCTGACCTCTAAATCTACCACTTTGCAGTTTAGTGTCCACTGGGAAGATAGATGGGGATCAATGATTACAGCATCCTGGGTGGTAATGAACTCTGGAACTTCTGGAGTCAACCAGTGACACTCTAACCTTAATTAGAAGGCGCCTCTCAACTTAGAGACCCTCCTGGTAAAGGTCAAGCCCAAGGTTAAAGATAAGAAGATCATAATGCTCTGGAGTCTAAAACCACAGGGAAGTCCCTCAGCTCCACCAACAAATAGGAGACAATCTAAGAGGCTAAAATAAGAGAACACACACAAAGCCCTTGTAGTACACAGCACCCTAAGGGAGCTAGGCAATTATTAGCCACTATTATTTCTACAGAGGGGGAGTGTTTACCCTCTCCTTGGGGACCTGAGGAACTCTGGTGGCTGGAGGCAGCAATGATAAGTTTGAGAGTAATTAATACCACTACTAGTCAGATTTCTCCCTATCCCCTGGGGTGATATGATAATGGACAGGACATCATCTAGGAAGTGCTTTGAATGCCATAGATGTCAAGAAACCCTAACAAGTCAATGTAATATTCACTTACTAAACATTTGTGGTGCACTGCACTGACTCTGTGCCAGACAGAGTCACAACTGGAGACACAACACAGTTAAGACAGGTCTTATGAAGGATTGAGAGTTTGTTTGTTTTTTCCCTAAAAAGACATCCAGCAGGGCATGGTGGTGCATGCTTGTGATCCCAATGGCTGGGGAGGCTGGATCACCAGTTCAAAGCCAGCCTCAGCAAAAGCAAGGCGCTAAGCAACTCAGTGAGGCCCTGTCTTTAAATAAAATACAAAATAGGGCTGGGGATGTGGGTCAGTGGTTAAGTGCCCTTGAGTTCAATCCCCAGTATCCAAAAAATAAAAAGATATCCAAGTAAACAGACACACCCACTGTGTCACCCATTGTGATCACAGAACACCCAGCAGGGGTATCTAGCTCAGGCCTGCAGGATGGTGGTAATGATCAGAAAGGCAGCACCAAGTAGTGCTCCAGTAACAGAGGTTTGGTGCAGGGAGCAGGAAATGGTGTTCAGACAAAGAAGGAAGAGCATGAAGCAAAGGTAGAAAGGCATAAAAAAGTATCTAGACGTGGAAGCAGCTTGGGAGGTAGAAGTATGGAGGAGGGATGAGGAGAGAAAGCCAGGCAGGAGTCAGAGCCCAAAAGATCTTGGATACCAAGCTAAGGAAGTGGGTGAGTTTAGCCTGCAGGCAATAAGGAACCACTGATGGATTTTCTTTTTTTTTTTTTTCCACTGATGGATTTTCAAGCAGGACTTTTTTGTTTTAAGGATCCCCCAACTGCTCAGGTGATATCTTCTCTCTGGTGTATTTATTCTTCTATGTGAGAAGGGATAAAGAACAAAAAATCTCTTCTGGTCTGTGAAAATAAAAATACCTGTCCAGAAAAAAAAAGACCTTCAAGGACTAGATGCCCCTCAGAAACAGAACAAAGGGCCAGGTGCAATGGCACACACCAGCAGCTCGGGAGGCTGAGGCAGGAGGACTGCAAGTTCAAAGCCAGTCTTAGCAATTTAGCAAGTCCCTAAGCAACTTAGTGAGATTTAAAAAAAAAAAAAAAAAGGGCTGGGGATGTAATTCAGTGGTTAAGTCCCCTGGGTTCAATCCCCGGAAAAAGGAAAAAAAGAAAGAAAGAAATGAAATAGAGCAAAGCATAAAACCATACATAAGCCACGCTTGCTTACTGTCAGCATATCATACTTCCATGCCAGACATGAAGGTCTTCTGGGAAGTAAGCAGTTTAGAAATGCAAGTTTTGAGGATGGCTAGAAAAAGATCAAAGTCCAGAGCCAGAATCTACAGGACCAACAAACTGAACATATTCTGAAATACTTTTAGGAAGTGAAAGAAGGGTGGAAGAAGCCCTAAGTACACAAAGGTCTCTATTTGCACAAGGAAGCAACACCCCACAAGCCACAGCTGCCAGTCTTCCTCAGACACAAGCCCTGGCAAGCATCAACTGTTTTAGGGTCAAAACACCCACCAGTGTAACAGGCTCTGCACAATTTCCTCTTTTAACAACTCTAAAATGGGTGTGGGGGAGGGGTGATCAGTATTATTTTGCAGCTGAAGTAATGAACTCAGCCCAAATAATCTGTTCAGGTCACACTGCGGAGAAGCTGCTGAGCTGGGGCTGAGAGGAGTCAGGAATGCTGTTCCCATTATACCTCTGAGCCCTTCAAGTTGCTCAGGGTAAAGCTTCTGGTGGACCGACACTTAACAGATGATCTCAACCCATGCAACCTTTGAGAGATCTGTTATTTAAGAAACAGTGAAGCTGCCCCTCATGATGGTTTCTAAGAGGAGCTTGGTGGGCTAAAGCCAGGACAGGGAGCCAGATGCTCTGAGCTATGTCCTACCATCTGTGACAAGTTGCTTTATCTCAAATCCTCTCCTGGAAGGATGGGGATAAGGTAACAGTATTAAGTTTCTGTGAATTCAATGAACTAGGAGAACAGACCACAATTTAAAGAAAAAAGTAACAAGAGTAATATTTTTTAATCATATCTTTCTTCAGAAGTATGTGGAAACCTTCTTGGATTCATTAGGGCTTAAAGCACCTGTGTGTAGGAAGATGACAGGTCTTCACACTGTGGTCAGGGAAACTGAGGCAGACCTGGAACAAATGACTTCTGCAAAGGAGTGAGGCTCCAACTCACAGAACCTAGCTCCCTGGCCATCAAACCACCTCATTCTTTCAGCCAAGATATATATTCATCCCAGGCAAGATGGCACAGGCCTGTGCATTTTTCAGAGAGATAGAGTCTTCCCTTGAATACATTAGGTACATTCTTCCAGAACCTAGCACCAAAAGATCTCCTTTCTCTTTACTGAAAAAGCAATGCAGCTCAGCCTCTCTCAAGAGACATCTGGATGTTAGCTGCATGGATAGTCTGTTTTGTGTCTCACAGTTCCTAACCGGGAAATTTTAAGCTCTTGTCCTGAAAGATAAATCACTTATATCGACAGCCTGCAGGATTGTTTCACCCTAAAGAAAGTGAATTAAATGCCCTTTATGATGATCAGACAAAAAGCAATAAGGCTACATCTTGACACAGATCCAAATAATATACCAGCAGCTTGAAATATTAAATAGTTCCTACACCCTAACCCTACTCCAGCTTCTCCTTTGTCTCTGCACTTTGCTGGTCTCTAAAAACCTAGGTAAGAACCCCAGTGCTTCTGCCTCTTCTACCTGATTGACTTTATATGTGTGATTTGACTTTTGTGCCTGTGTGTCCTGGTGGATAAAATGGGTAAGGTATCAATAGCTACCCTACAATATGGCATTGTAAGTAAAGTGTTTAGCACGGTGCATCGTTTACAGCAGGAGCTTAATAACTAAGATGGAATTCTTGTTAGTGTTTTCTAGCATTATTACAGGTGTCCCCATTCTGTCAACTCGTCCCAAAGGACCCAAAGGACAGACCAAGCCTTAGCCTATCAAGGAGCGGGAGGCACAGAGCCATTTCTTGACCCCCCTCCCCCCATCATTTGGAATTTTGGCAAAGAGATAAGCCCCTGTAAGAGGAGGAGGCCCCAGGACAGCCATAGGTTGAGTGCGAAGGGGGAACCCAAATCCGGAAGAGTTTTCCCTCGGCCAGGGACAGGCTCCATGGGGCCTAAGTCTAGGAGTCTCTCCGGGCGGGCGCCCCATGAGGGGCTGCGGACCTGGGACTAGCCCGGTGCTGGCCAGCAGTCAAGTGGGCGCGAATGAATGAACCCGCAGTCCTTACTCCTGGTCTCGGTCGGGAACGCCGCTCGCGCCCCTCTAGCATGGCGTCCTCACCGTGACCCCTGACCCCGCAAACCCCTCAGCTCGACCCCCGACTAGCCGCCCCACTTCTTTCCGAGCCTCGTCGGTCTCCCTGTTTCCTCACCCGCAGGTCCAAACGGCTCCCGGGGCCACGACTCGATTCGGCTCGGCAGCAAAATGTCCGCGGCCTCCTCCTCCCCGTAACCCGGTGCGTCGGTGCAGCCGGCCGCTCCGAGCCCCGCGGCTGTCACCTGCCGGGCGGAAGTGAGCGGCCAGCGCGCGGGCACTTCCGGTGGACGCACGGCCTGGGGGCGGGATCAAGGGTACAACCCGAGCAGGGGTGGTGCCCGTGGGCGTGGCGACTGTGGGCGGGACCGACCGCTATTAACCTCTCTGCCGCCGAGCGCTGATTTGCCACTGTACCCTGCAGAGCGCAAAGAAAAACTAGTCGGTCAACAGCTAAGTAATTAGGGTGCTGAGGCCCTGAGAAGGGTAGGATTTTACCCAATGGGAGAGTCAAAATTAGAACTGTAAATCTAGTCAAACGCAAGACTGAAGCTTCTCTGCTAGTCTGAAGCTGGACTGTTTCAGGACAGCGTCAGCGCCCTAGGGGAAAACATCATTCCCTCCAAGGAAATTTTATCCCCTGGGATCTTAATAAAGTGCCATTTCTCCTTTTGCCAGGACCTCAATTGCTATTGTCACCTTTCCCAATTCCATTAATTTTCTCTTCCTTCTAGATAATTTCTGTTCATTCCCTTTAAAACATTATGTAATTTCTACTCTTTAAAGGTGCTTTACTGAACAAATAATATTTACATCGCAGAGAAATGGAAATATACTTGAAGCAAAAAGAAAACAAGCCGGTTGCTCTGGCCCAATCCTGTAATCCCACCTATTCGAGAGGCTGAGGCAGGAAGATCACAGATTCAACAATTTTAACAGCCTCAGCAATTTAGCGAGAGCCTGTCTCAAAATAAGAAATCAAAAGGGTTGAGGATGTGTGACTCAGTGGTTAAGCGCCCCTAGATTAAATCTCTGACACACACACCCCATCTCTCACACAAACACACACACACACACACACACACAATCATGTGTGATCCCATTGCCGTGAAACAACCACTTTTAATATTTTGGTAAATATCTTCCTGGACTTGATTTATTATCTGATATTTTTATCTCACCAAGATATTGGTAAAACTTCCTCAAAACAATATATTAATTTCTACTTGTGCTTACCAATACTTTCATAGTACTCTAATGTTTGGCTCATATTGTGATTTTCTTAAACAATCCCCTAAAATTGTACATAAGGTTGTTATAAATCTTAATATTATAAAAACATTTTGATAAATAAGCTCTTGCACAGCCATAGATAAGAAAATTGTAAAAAGAGCATGAAATAGAGTCCCACATACCCTTCACTCAGCTTCCTTTGATGGTGACTCTCTCTCTATCTCTGTAGTATGACATTAAGCCCAGGAAATTGGCATTAGTAAAATGCCATGATCTCAACTACAGACAGTATTCTGTTTTTAAATCCATTTTCAAAGTAGGCAGGGAAGAAAAATATTTTTTCTTTTTTGCTGCAATGATGGAAATTTATTTTTCTACAGTCACGGAGGCTGGAAATCTAAGATCAAGACCAAACTGGTTTCTTCTCCTTGACTTGCAGATGGCCACCCTTTTGTTGTATCTTCACATGGTCTTTCCTCTGTGCACCTAGAATAATCTTATATCTACATGTCAAATCACATATCTGGAGGAAACTTTTCTAATGATAAATGTTGGCAAGTGCCATCAGTCTCATTGGAAAACAAATTGGGAATGTGACCCAGAAAAAAAAAATTTTGTTCAACAAAATGAACACACCTAAAGGTACCAAGCTGGAGAACTTATGTGCAAGTGACAAGGTAGTAGCAGAAAGCAGAGCTTTAAGATTTCCAAGGAGACCAAGGTCGCTGGGCCCAGCTGCTCAGGAAGGACTTCCTGGGGAAGGTAGCATTTGTTGTAGGTCTTGCTGAATTAGTACAAAGTTTCACAGGCTGCAATGGCAGGAAAGGGCAAACCAGGGAGGATAGTACAGAGGCAGGAAGGCTACACAGGGTCTCCATGCAAAGGAGCGAGGCAATCAAGTACTTCAGAAAGCTTGGGAAATCAGGGCTGGGGATATGTCTCAATGGTAGAGTGCTTGCCTGGGTTCCATCTCCAGCATGGGAAGGAAAGAAAGAATGGGGGGGGGGGAGAAAGAAAGAGCGAGCCAGGTGTGGTGGCACATGCCTATAATCACAGAGGCTCAGGAGGCTGAAGCCAGTCTCAGCAAGAATGAGGCGCTAAGCAACTCAGTGAGACACTGTCTCTGAATAAAATACAAAATAGGGCTGGGGATGTGGCTCAGTGGCCCCATGACCTTGAGTTCAAACCCCAATACCCCTCCCCCTGAAAAAAAGAAAGAAAACAAAGCTTGGGAAATCACAAGCCCCCTACTCTTCACCAGGCTCTGGGCTAACTGTTGGATAATCAGATGGTTGAGGGCAAAGGTCCTGCTCTTGCTGAATTTACAGTTTGTCTAGGGAGGTGACAAAGCAGCAGACCCAAGTTTCTTCCAAAGCCTCTCTCCTTGACTTGTAGATGGCTGCACTTGCAGAAGTGTGAGATTAGTGCTACGGTAGGGGACATCCTGAGGGCTTTGGGAATCCAGGACAAGAACAGAAGCTCCCTAGGGTTGGAAGGACCAGGGGAAGCCTGGATAAATGGGGGGGGGGTATTTAATCTGTAACTTTAAAACAATGACTATTTATGGAGCCCCTCTGTTGTGCCGAGTGGTTTGCAGGCCTCATTTGCTCTCTCCATTGGCCCCAGAAGGCAGGGGCTGTTTTAATTCCATTTATCTGGGGAGCGGGAGGGGACACAAATCTGAGACTTAAGTCAAATAGCATGTGAGTGGCAGAGCTTGAAGGCCTGGTCCCAGAGCCCCAGCTCTCATTAGTCCCAATAATTTCACCTAAAATACATTGTCACTCCTACCTGAGCTAGCCATGTTGGGGATGCAGCAGTGAACAAGGAACAGCCCAATCCCTACTTGGGGCTCACTGCTGAGTGTAGGAGCAAGACAGATAATGGGACAAATTATAAGTGAGTGATCAGCAGCACCAGGGAGGCACAGGAAACTTGGACACCAAATGAAGTGATGTCCAGCTTGAACCATGAAAGATGAAGATACAGAACACCAATGTGAGGTAGGAGTTCAGGGACACCAAGATGGCAGAGGCAGGTAGAAGAAAAATGCCACTGGAGAGTAAGACAGAGAGTTGGGTCATCCTGTCCCTGTTTTTGATAAGTCCCATTACCATGACAACTCCTGTCACTAAGGACTTACCACCCTTGATAACTCCTGCCACAGTTCGGTATTTTAAAATGACCTATGATGGTAAGTGGACAGTATTCTAATTAGGTATTCTAAAGTAACCAATGGAGGGAAATTGAACACTCTTCTAATCAGGTATTAAAAGGTAATCAGGGGTTGGGGTTGTGGCTCAGTGGTAGAGCATTTACCTAGCATGCGTGAGGCACTGGGTTTGATCCTCAGCACTCCATTAAAAAAATAAAAAACAAAGTGATAAAGAGTAATGTTTATTTTTTAAAAAAGGTAATCAATGGAAACAAATGAGGTGAGGTTTTTCATTTGGACCACACAGAGAAGAGATAGCCCAGCATATAGGACGCTAATTTCTAGACCTCAGGACCTTGAGCTTCTCTCTCCTGCTCAGTCCACTTTGCTCTACCTTACCGAGTGGTAATTTAACCTTCAACTTCAATAAATCTGCACTTTGCCTTTTACTTCTCTGTGTCTTGCTCAATTCTTCTTCTTTTTTTTTTAACCCAGTGCCTCACATGTGGGAGGCAAATGCTCTACCACTGAGCCATAACCCCAGCCTCTGTCTTGCTCAATTCTTTGTTCAGGACACCAAGGACCTGGACTTTAGCTGGACACCTCAGTGGTAACACTTAACAGTTACCATGATCCAGGCACCACCTTAGCCTCTTCTACATATTGATTCACTGAACTCTTCCAGTAATTTAGGTTCCCTGACAGTCCCTAAGTAGAGATGAAAGGGCTGGGGATGTAGTTTGGTGGTGGAGCATCTACCTAGCATGAGTGATACCCTGGCTTTGATCCCTAAAAATGGGTTTGATCCTTAAAAATATGTATAGAACCAAGCAGAGATGAAAACAGGTTGGTGGGCAGAACTGATTTCTCCTCTACTTTCCTATAGGTCTGGACATTTCCTCCCATAGTTCAGACTGGAAGGAGAGCTAAAATTATAATACTAATAAGAGGAGGCACAGGTCAGTGCCATAGGCTGGGTAATTATAGCTTGCAGAGTCGGGAGACAGAAGCTGGCCACACTGCCTGAGCAAGTCATTCTCATTGTCAAATGCTGACAGCTAGGTTGGGGATTTAGCTCAGAGGTACAGTGCTTGCCTGGCAGGCGTGAGGCAAGGGTTTGATTTCTAAAACAAAACAAAGAAAAAATGCTGACATCTACAACAGGAGCAGCCATACCTGTGGCATTCGGAGCCTGCCTGGCCCCCTCCTCGAGGCCCAAGGGAGCTCCTTGCTCCAGAGTGGATGAAGCAAAGCCAGTGATGATCAAATCTACCTACCTGGAAAGAGAAAACCAACTTCCCCCAGCAAATACATTCTTCCTAAAAATTATATCACCTTCTGGTTAGAGGGAGAAGCTTTATTAGCTTTTCTCGGAGTCCTGGTCATTTTGTCTTATTATTTTTTATCTCTTTTTTGTTGTTGTTAGTTATAGATGAACCTGTTTTATTTATACGCAATGCTGAGAATCCAACCCAGTGCCTTACGCTTAGCTAGGCAAGCCCTCCACCACTGAGCTACAACCCCAGCCCTCGTTTTTGTCTAATTGAGTGAGCTCTTTAGGCCTAAGTTTCTCCTCCCTGGGTACTCTGCCAACACCATGGGCCAAGCACCATTATATGCCCTCAACATCCATTTCTTCATTTAATTCTCACCACTCTCAAGAGGAAGGTGCTATAGTAAGCCTGTTTTACAGATGAGGACATTGAGGCCCTGAGAAGCTGCAGAACTTTCCCAACTCCACATCATGGCAATGGGGTCCTAGCTGGGAGTCAAGATCAGGGCAGATAACTGCAGGGCCCATGCTTTTCCCTTCTCTCCATCCTTACCTGCCTCATGCGGTTTCATCCAATCAGAAGAAGGTTGGGAGTTCTTGCTGGGACGTGGAAT